AGGGTCCCGTAGTGTCCCCTGGCCACCTCCTTACCTTTATCTGTGTCTGGTTCCTCCGCGTTGAGAACGAGTAGACATATTTGAAAATGTAGAAGCCGTGCTTGGCGTTGCAGCTTTTCAGAAGTATCTGGTGGGGAAGAAAATAACCAAAAGCCACAATTTTCTTATTAATTGCATTGGCAGGAGTTTCCCTTTCTGCATCTGGCACTGCAGTAGAGTCCCACCAGTACCCACTGAGGCCCCAAGAGGCGGCAGAGGGATACATACCCGGTGTTGTCCCACACAGTTCCCAGCAGCTCTCCCAGGCAGTGGCAGTGGCACCTGTGGGCAGCAAAACACAAGGAAGAGCTGAGGCATCAAACACTGCCTCAGCAAATAGGCAGCTGCCAGTGCCGACTGCTGACCACCCACCCTTTCCCACCTTCAGGGAAGGGTGGGAAAACTGCATTGATAAGCCACCAAATTCCCAGGCACTACCTGGGGTGCTGACTTAAAGACAGCAGTAGTAGGAAAGGTCAAAATCCCATTTCCAGAGTCTGAAAAGTATATCAAAATCTGAATTTTGCTACAGCATGATTATATTGCATGCTGGCTTTCATATGGTACTGTTGATAAATAACAAATAACCTTTTCCCAGAGAATTCTGCAGAGGATTTTACCACAGAGCATTTTTAATACACAGCACCATTGCTCACAAAAGAATGCTCCAGCTTACTGCTTGGATCTGCCTATGATGAGAGTCTGGAGCTGGTTAACTGATGGAGTTTCCAGTGTTTACTAAGCTACTGAGCAGCAACCTGTGTGTCCTCACAGCTGGGTTTCTGTACATGCTTGCAGGCTTCCAGCTCTCCCTGATTATCCTGGGTGGATTTTGGTGGGTATTGGCTAGTGCGGGGGACCTACTGGTGGGAGCATCCTGTGAGTCCCACAAAGCCATTTCAGGCATTCCTTGCCTGCCAGAGTGAGACAGCCCCGTGGAGGGCAGTCCTTTTGATTTTAGAAAAATTAGTCACTGAAATATCCCAAGCCCAGCTGAAGGGGCAGAAACACACCCCAAAGTATTGAATATTCCCAGGTTGTTTCATTGTTTGTGAACAGTGTCAAAGGCCAGATTGCAGCTCTGGTTACACAGCATAGCATTAGCTGCCACCTGTGCTCCTATCTGAAAAGCAAATCTGTGCTGATTTATTGCCTTCCCCTGGGCTGCTCTGCTACAGACTGGGTTGTGAGAGCTTGCTCTGTGGAGTAAAAGATACATGGGAAAGGGGTAAAACACACATAGGAGGAGCCATCTCAGGGAAGATGGGATTTCCCTTCTCCTTACCCTGACAAAAAGGCAAGCCTTTTCTAGGAGCAGACTTTCACTCTAGCTGTGTATTTAGTAAGCTGAGCAACAGTTATGCAGGAAAAAAATGGCTCCTATTATATTAATCTTAATTTGCCTTGGTTTTAGTTAAATGTCTCAAAATTTCAAATTAGGAGACCTGGAAAATAATTGTGGGTGCCCCTCTGACCACTGTTCCCCACATGGGTAAGATGAGCATCCTTCCCACACCTCCCTTCCTGTGCCTTGGCTCAGGCTGTTTGCAGGCCAAAAGCACCGGGCAGATCCCAGATCCACAGAAATCCAGCGGAAGAGGTACAGCCACCCAGACAGTGCAATGCCCTGATTGCTAAACTGAAGGAACATGCTCAGACACCTCATTGTTAATAAATACTTTTCTTCTGGGCTCACCTCTGCTGTTTACCTTACTCCCTTCCCCAGGCACCAGAGGTGGTGTACACAACTATAACCCATGTTTTCTCACTGCTGAAAGCATGCCGGGATGCACTGGATAGCACATCTCACGCTTCCAGCAGTATGCTAGGAACCCAGGAAAAGCCATACTCACAGGTGTGGTGAGGGCTGTGCTGAACAGGCACAGGCACAAGCAGACGAGGGATGTTTGCATCTTGGGCTGCTCCTGGAGGTACAAAGTGAAGCATTGCTGCAGTTTTTCTTCCTAGGACTTGTGGTCTTCAATAATCCTGGTTAGGAGCAACCTAAAAGCTCCTGCTGTCCCAAAGCTCCCATAGCAGCAGGGTTTTCCAGTGACCCCCACTTTTCCCAGGATTTTCAGTGGCCCTTGGCATTGTCCTGCCTCATTGCATCCCTCACAACAAGGGCAATGCTCTCACCATGTGCTTAGGGCATAGCCAGCAGCTCTGAGTGGGAGCTCTGACACCAGCTATTAAAACTGCCTAACTTCCTCTGTCAAAGCAGCTTGGGTGGATATTTGCAATAAATTATCCCCTAAAGTTGCTGCAAGCTAAGCTGTTCATAAATCCAAATTAAGAAAGCAGCAGGCTTTCACCCAACCGCCCTTGCTTGGGCTTGCAGGTCCATCCCAGAGACTGAAGCCATACCAGTATTGCTACAGGAAATGCCAGAAGGAAATACATGCACAAAGATCAGCAGTACAAAAGCAGTGTAAGCTGAAGAGATGTACACAGCCAAGGATCAGGATGTCCCCATCCCCATTGTGGCTTGCCCAGAGTGAAAGCAGGAGAATCCCTGCCCAGGGACAGCAGAGCTGAAGGGCTAGGGAGAGACAGGGCAGGAAGCTAGATAAGATCACCTTTTCCTGTTAGAGGCAGGTCCCAGTGGCAGACTGTGGAGCTTGTGCCCACTTTGCTGAAATTTAAAGTTGGCCCCGGGTGCACAGAGCCAATCAGCTCCTGCCCAGGGACATTTGTCAGCTCTGGCAGCACTCGCAGATAACCAGGGGGAGTAATTTCCAGCTAAAAATGTGTTTGTGGTAAAAGACAGCTATCAAATGTTCCACCTGGCTGGATAAACAGAAAGCACAGTTTATAAATATCTGTTCTGAAGGTAAAATTGCTCAATGATTAGTGCAGATCTTAGTGTGGCACACATCCAGCTTGGTTATTGATAAGAGGGTGTGCAGTGGGTCTTGGCTTGTTCACAGTGACCAACATGGGAAAGCTGGCAGGGCTTCAGAAATGGAAGGGCAAGATTCAGAGCCAGGCCTGGTCCTGGCCCTTTGGCACAGAAGGACAGTGTTGGCCAAGTGAGAGCCACCACCGTGCTGTGTCTTCTGACACTTGCTTTTTGGGTTTCAACCTCAACCCCTCTGAGTTAAACCTGTGCAAGTGCAAAATAGAAGAGTGGCAAAAAAGAAGAAAATATGTATGTTTTTCCATGCACTGCTTGCACAGGTCCCTTTGAGCCCAGCTTCATTACAAAGGGTGTGCACGATGTACAGACCCTCCTTCTCCCCACCTATACTTTTGGTGGCATTGCTGGTCACCTACACCCTTGCCAAGAAGGGTTCCCACTGCTACAACCAGCCTGGTTCAGGCAGTCACTGTGGTGGTGGTGGTGACAGTAGCTCCCATCCCACTCTCCACTCGGCCCTAACCCAAACCCTCGGAGCTGGCATGACTCCCACATTATCACCAGAAATGTTTAAACCATCAGCATCCAACCTCAAGCAGGAGGAAATCCTGGAGCCAGCAGGAAAGTGACCCTAGCCACCAGCCAGGGAGTGGCAGCTAGATGCCACCCCCCAGGGCAGCCAGCCCATGTGCCTTGGCTCCTGGAGGAGAGCCTTTGCCAGATGCCTGGGGGGCTGACGCACACAGGACTGGGCTAAGCGCCCTGTAGGAGTGGGACCTGGCCCCTGGCAGCGCCAGGGTCCTTTGTCCATGCCAGTTTCCTGATGTAACTGGGCATCCCCTGGGGATGTGGATGATGGAACTCGTGTCCCCACACCAGCCCTGAGTGCGTGCAGGCCTCCTCAGTGCCGCCATAGGGATTTGTCCCCAGGGGTGCCCATGCTGCAGGCAGCACTTCCTGCCTCCCCAGAAGCTGCAGCCTGGCTTTGGCATACAGAAGCAGTTTTGTACAATGGCCAGTGACTTGCTGCTGCAGGAATAGACTAGTTCTGTAGCTGGACCTGCATCAGAAGCTGAGCTCAAAGTTCCTTCCTAGGAGTGCAAGAGCAACAACGTACCTGCCATAAACTGTGAATGAGGGCCATCACTATCCCCATATGGTGGCATCTGCCTGGAACCCAGTGGGATTTGTTCTATCCCTATCCGTAATGCAGATCACCAGTTGGCCAGGGACATACTCCTGTTGGGAAGGGACCCTGAGCAGCGATCCTGAGGACTCCCAGCTAGGCATCCCTATCACTGATGAAGGAGGGGAGTAGATGCACCACTGTCACTGTGACAGCCCTACCTTGCTCTGGGAATGAGGCTATGTGACAGGGATATTTTTGGGCTGCAGTACTGGTGTTCAAGACACACATCCAAGTTTCCCAGCCTCGTACCCACATGTCTGGTGCAGGGACAAAGCAAAGCCCTCATTACAGGGGTGTGCATCTACAGCTAGTGATGCACAGAAAGAGAAATTAATGTTTTTACCCTTATTAACATTGCCTGGTGTGTGGTCAGGCCATGGGAGGCACATTTCCAAAGAACAGAAGACATGATAAAGTTATCACTGCTTACATATTGGAAATTGACATAAACTTTACATAAAACGTGGCTGTAATTCCACAGCAGTGTCCCTAAGAGTGCCCTTTCATTTTTCAGAGGGCACTCTACCGAAGCTTTCCAAGTTAGCCTTGCTGTTCCTCCCTTTCTGCATCTGAGCTGGAGTAACAAGATTCAGCCCTAAGCATCATGGGCAACTGTATCACCTCAGCCCCTCACCTAGCGCTGTGCTGCTCCACTGACCCCAGATAACTGGGCAGCAAACTTTTTGTCACCAACAAGCTCAGTTCAGTTGCTTTATTTCATTTAATCATTTCATTTCATTTCATTTCAGTTTGCAAGATACAAAAAAAAAAAAAAAAAGCCTTGGATGGACTCAATGTACATGGCAAGCTGCCTAGCATCCTCTCTGGCATGCGGTGGCTCCAGGGAACCTTTGAATGTACCTTCCTGCCTGGCTGGGGCTGGCAGAGGCAGCGCCAGGGCTGCCCCCATACTCACTGACTGTAGTAGTAGTCCTGGCCATACACATCGTACCCATGCCCTTTGTAGTAGCTGTACTCATCTTCGTAGGCCCGGTAGCTGTCCCCGCGTGCATACTCATCCTGTTCCTCATACCCACCCTCAGTGGTGCCCTCATCCCCCCGGCTGTGGTCCCTGGCTGTCACATCATACTCCCACAGCCCCTCAGCTGTGGTGGCATCTGTGGTGACACCTATGGGTCCCCCATCATCCATAGTGGTCGCCTGTGTCAGACCCTCTTCGTTGGTGGTGCTTGCAATGGTGGTGGCTTCAGCTTCCTCCTCCTCCTCCTCTTCTTCCTCTTCTTCTTCTTCTTCCTCCTCCTCTTCCTCCTCTTCCTCAGCTTCACCAGTGCCTTCCTCAGCCACCACAGTGTCATTGCCATGAGGTCCAATACCCTCTGTGGTATTGGTGCTTGTGCCATTGACACCATTCTCATTCTCATCTACTTCTTCTTCCTCCTCATTCTCATCACTGTCTTCATTTTCAGACTCTTCCCCCTTGCTGCCAGTTCTCTGCCTGATCCTTTGGCAGCCCTTGCCCTGGCAGAGGGAAGACAGCACAGTATTACTTGGATGTCGGGAGGCTGCAGCTCCACGTGGAAAGGGGCACGTCTGGGCACAGCTGAGCATCCCCCCACACCTTTCATGGCAGGACTGTCTTTTTGGGGTACCCCTTCCAACCCCAAGTTAATGCCCAGAGCTTTGTCCAGCTATAGCTATTTCCACAGCAATCCCCCAAGCTGAAACAGGGTGCAGGGCATCCCATGGGTACAAGCAAACATGCAGGGAACAGCCCCCTCCCCATGGGTGCTCCCTCTATCTCCCCAAACCACACCTGATGGGGGGATGTGACGTCTCCTCCAAGTGCACCTTGGCAGTCCTCAGGGGCTGCTCCAGCAGGGTGTCCAGCTGCCCTGGTGCCAGCATAAAATGGCTCCTACAAGGACAGGGACAGGACAGGGCAGGGGGTCAGCAGCTGGAGTGGAGCACAGGCCTCCCTGCAGTGAGAGGGGTACAGTGCATCCACACAGAGTGTTTAGGCATTGCTCCTAGTTCCGTGCTTTCTCATGGGTCTTGTTCCAGGCTGAAATGTAGAAGCTGCAGCAGGGCAGCTGGAGCTGTGCAATTACGTGGTGGTGGCTGGAGTCGGGTGTTCCCTTTCTGGCTCCACATTTTGCTTTGCAAAGCATCTAAAGGTTTTCTTCTGAAGTTACCTCCCCCAGTTTCCAGTAAACAAAGAAAGCCACAGGCACACTACATGCGAACACACTGCTCATCATGTGTGGATGGTCAGTGAGAGTGTGATGGCTCAAAGCCAGGCATGAGCCCAAACCCCACCAGCAATCAGCCATCAGCAACACTTGCCCCAGAGATCAGCAGCAGAGCAGGGCTCTCAGTGGGTGCAAGGCTAAAAAAAAGGGTAAGGAATAACTCAAATGCAAACAGAGCCTGGAGAAGACACTGAAGGACTGGTGGGGCAATTCACCCAGGGCCCAGTCTGGGAGGTGGAGATTGTTGGTACCAGCACATGAGCCCAGCCATGGCAGGGAGACCTGAAGTCAGTGTCATCGCTGCCCTGGGCAACCCCTGCTGCTCACACTCCAAGACCAAGTACACCTACCTTGGCATTTTGGGCCACTTCAGACATTTAAATACAGATGCACATGCTGGCAGAGAAAATCCAGGCTGCTCTCCTCTCCAAGAGGAGAGCCATCAAATTGCACTGTGCAGCAAGCTGTGCCAGTGGAAGCAATGCTCCCTATATAGCAGCCAATATAATGCTTTTTACATACTGGTATGCTCTATAATGCTTTTTACATGACTGACCCTGGGGCCTTTGAGCATGATTCATTTTGCTTTTTTTACATACTGATATGCTCTATAATGCTTTTTACATACATATAACTGACCCTGGGGCCTTTGAGCATGATTCATTTTGCTGACTACCCTGCCAGTGAAGGCACATCCCTGCATGGGAGCAGCCACTGCTCTGGTGCCCTCAAAATGAAAAGGGCAGTCCTAAAGAGCAGCTACATTCCTGCAAATCAGTTAATTTCTTCCTGAGAAATGAAATTCCACCTTTGCTGTCCATCCCACTGCTCAAATCTATCCCTAGAAATTGCAGTGGTAGGGGAGAGAAACAGGTAAAATGGGGCAAATTGCAGGGAGGTGCCAGGGCTGGCACAGGGGCCATATCCCATGCTACATCCCAAGCCCTGACAGGCCACCAAATTGGGGTTTAAAACCAGATTCCCTGGATTTCATTAAATAACTTTTAAAAAAGAAAAAAAAATACTTGATTAGGTGTGACACACAGGATTCTAAGCATGCCAGATCCTTATTTCAAAGCACCTGTGTGCCTGAGACCACTGGACTATTTTTGAGCATTTGCATCCCGATAAGGCACAAAAGATCTTTTTAATCCCTTACATTTAATTTTGGACCTGGGCTGCTCTCACAACTACAGAGGTGCCCAAGCCCACATTGATCCAGCAGACAGGAGCAGCTTTACCATCTGACTGATACAAATTTGACTTTCCCAATATAGCATCAGTTTGTGTCACTCCACAGACACACATGCAGAGCATGACTGCATTTTCTGTAGGGCTATTCTCAGTGCTATAGGGGTAACAGACCCTGAAAAAGGAAGGTAAGAGGAGTTCCTAACAGCACCTTCTTCCTTGTGTGAACCTCCCTGTTTCTGTCCTTTGGCCTGTCCTGCTCCTTTCTGAGCTGCTGGAAACGGAAACCAAAAGAATTTGTCTCAGGGTTGTTTGGTACAACCCCTGTCCAGGAAAAAAAGGAAAGCAAAAGGAAAATATCGACGACAAAAAAAAAAAAAAAAAAAAAAAAAAAGTCCAGAGTAGAAAATCCAGTTGTAACCAGAGTGCAAGTCTGTGGGAAGTCAGTGACCACAGATGCTGATGAGCAGAGACTACAAAACCAAAGAAAGTTCTCAAATTCCCGTATTTGTTTTGCAGACTACTGGTTTGCCATACTCACCCCCTCTTCCTCCTCCTCCGAGCCATCCCCCTCTTCCTCAGATGAGTCACTACCCTAAGAAGAGAAAAAACCAAGTTGGAGGCGGGTGGGTGGGTTCCCAGTGGTGTCATGAGTACAATGTCCTATGCACAGGTCCACAGGCCATGCCTACAGGGCACAGACCATGCCCCCATCTCATCTGGCCAAAATCTCTGCATTTGGAGGGCGACGAAGGAGCAGCAACCCCTCGGAAGCACCCACCTGGTACCGTCGCTGCGGGGGATACACGTAGATGTATCTGTACAGGTAATGCCGGTGCCGGCTCTTGAAAACCTACCAGAAGAAGGAGGGGGAAAATCCCATCAGTCTGGGACCTTGGGTACAGGAGCCACCAAAATGTGCTCTTCCTCAAGATCAGCCCTGTGTGGGACTAGGCACGCGGGGTGGGGGAGGCCCTACCGCGTTCTCTTCTGAGTCACCCCACTTGGGTTGCCGCAGCCAGCTCTTGACCTGGGGGAAAGGGTGGGTTGGTACATGCCCCACAGCAGCCCCGGCAAGGCCGGGAGGTCCCCCCTCGCCTGGCACTCACCGAGAAGGTGCACGCCATCCCCACCAGGCAGACAAACACCAGGACACTCCTCATGGTTGCTGTCTCTAGGAACACCAAAACACATTGAGAGCTTGCTTTTCAGCTAGAAAGCACCAACACCACTCCAAACCATCCACATGTCTGTGTCCACGTGGGTGACTGGGGAGAAGAAAGGCTGACTTCCAGCCTTTCTTGGTGAGGTCACCCAACCCCTCCGTAGACCCAATTCTTTCTTTTTCTTCTTCTTTTTTTTTTTTTTTTTTTTTTTTTTTTTTTTTTTTTTAATGATCTGCCTCAACTTCCATGAATTTTGGGGTTTTTTTAGAAGCCACAAAATACCAGAAAAGCAAGTTTCACCATGAGTGAACTCAAAGCTTTCCTGGAGAAGGATGACTTATTCCTGTTTTCCCATTGCCCTTAAGGGAGGGGAAAAAGCCAAGCCCCACTGGAGATGCAACAGGAGCAGCTGGGAGCACTGCCCACTGCAGCCACCCTTCCATAGCTCCAAGACCTGCTTGGGCTTTGCCCAGGAAGCAGTGCTCCTGGGAAGTGTAACCTCACTGAGGAAAAACAAATAAGCAAACAAATAATGGAAATAATTGGCTTCACAGCCTGCCATTGGCAAAAATAGCAGTGGCAAGGCACCAATGCAAAGAGCCCCCCACTTAGCTCTGGGCAGGTCTGAACTGCACACCCAAAGCACCAAAACACAGCCTGCCCTCCTGCATCAAGGAGAAAGGACCACACCCAATCCTTCCAGCAGCACCCCAGCCTTCTCCCAGGGAACAATTCTCCCAGCATACCCCTGAGCTCAGTCAGGCCCACTAACCTTCCTTTCTCCTACCCTTCCTCTGCCTAAACCCAGTATCAGCTGTGCTTGTAGAGAATTGTTATTACATTTATCTGTGCTTGAAGTTTCCTTATTTTTGCTTAATTCAGGCTATAAAACAAGTGGCCACAAGTCTCTCTGATCTTGCAGCAAGGTTCTGGATGCTCACCCCCTCCACCCAAGCGCCTCATGAAGCCACAGATCCAGGAAAAGACTAAAAGCAGCACCCCAATCCTGCCAGTAAGCTGACCCTCCCATCTCCCTGCAAAAAGCAGACTTCAAAGCACAACCCAACTGGGAAAAGCAGCAGCAAGCTTACCCTGCCCCAGCACCAAGAGCTAACCATGGAGGAGTCAGCCGGCACAGATTTCCTCCCGCTGCTGCCCTGCTGGGATATAAGGTCTGGCTTTGCCCCCCCCAAGCCAGTCACCGCCCTGCCCGGAGTGACGCCAGCTCTCCAGCATGCACCAAAACCCCTCCAAAACTTCAACGCTGGCAGATTTGGTGCACAAACATAGCGCCCCGTGCCGCTGCCAAACCCAGCGAGGTTTGCACTGCGCCACTTAATTGAGGGTCTTGCCTCAGATGTGCGGCTGGGAGGCTGAGGATATAATAACACTCTGGGTTTTAATTAAAATAAATATTGGGAAATCTGTTGCTGGGGGGTGTCCACCTCCCTTTTTGGGAAATCCTGTCACTGTTTTTTCAAGTAGACACAAAGAACGACCTCAAAGGCCTGGCCCCACAGCCACTTGTGCAGAGCCGTTAGACCAAAAAAAAAAGCTAAATCCAAAAATAATCCCTCTCCAGGATGCCTGCAGAGGCCTTGGTAAGGAAAGGGAAAGAAAAGGGGACTCAGATACAGGTGTCACTCAGTGCCTCTTTGAGAGTCATTTCCGCCACAGTGTTGCTAGAAAATGCAGGTCTGCTTTGTTTCTAAAGCCCTGCAAACTACGCAGACCCACACAGGGGCCAGCCCAGTCCCCTGCTCTCAAAAATTAGGCATTGTTCAGCTGAAATCTGTGTATGTCCCCGGCAAAGCAGAATAACTGCCGGGGAGTGGGGGGAAAATGAAAAAACCCCACCCACATATGCACTCAAATCACACTGGGGATCTTGGTGACAGGATACAGCAAGCAGATGCTGCCCCCTGCACCCACCTCTGCAAGGATGTCTTTTCTCCTTTACCTATATTTATCATTTCCTGCTTGGATTTCATCCACCCAGCTCTCCAGTGCACCTCTGCTTCCTCTTTCCCATTTTTCTTGCATTCATCAGCAAAGGCCCCTAAGCTTCTGCACATTTGGGCTGCAGCAGTTCAGGGAATGACTCCTCACCAAATGCAACTTCGCTTCCTGAAGTGGCAAGGAGAGCTGCAAATCCCACTTGATGCTTTCAGCCCTACAGCCCTAGGAGAAGGAAGAGAGGTGCTGAAAAATAAATGCCTTCAGGCAGATCTGTAATGGTCAGCTTAGCCAGTGGTAAAACTATGGTTATTAAGTACAGAAAAATCCACTTTGCCATGAAATGCCTGAATGTTTCTTCTTAAAACTAGGGGCAAAAACAGCCTCAATTACATACAGGGAAGCCCATCATTGACAGGTACATGATGTGGAGCTGATAATTGCTGATAGAACACTATGCACATAAGTTGTTTCTGGGGAGGGAGAGGTCCCCCATAGCTCCCCAAGGGTCCAGCACCCCTGGCAGCAGACCATGCCACATGCCCACCATACAGCCCCTGGGGCTGCAGGGCACAGCTGCCCCCATGGGCTGCAAAGCCTCTTGTGTCACTGTGATGTCCTAATTATAAGGGAGGCCTGGAGCTGGCCATGGCTTTCAGCTGATGCCTTGTGCCAGGAAAAGCCACACACAAAAAAAAAACCCCAAAAACCAAAAAAACCCCAAACAAATTAAAAAAAAAACCAACACAAAAGCACCTCAGCCATTCAGTTCTTTGGTGCCAACACAGCAGCCTTTGATAGAGACAGATCAGCATTTGTGAGATAAGGATTCCCATGTCCTCCCATCTCCATGGGGCTGGAGCAGCTGGAGGGGCTGCCCTGCTGTGCATTCAGGGCAGTGACAACCCTGCTTCCCATTGTCCCCTGCTGTCCTATGCTGCCTGGCCTAGGAAAGCAGTGAGCATGTGCCTGGCTTTGAGCTTAAAATTTCATCAGGGCTTGGGAACAGAAAGTCCTGGTGGGAGGCGATTTTTAATGTAATTAAAGGGCCTCTGCTCCAGTCTGCTTAAAAAAAATATGGAAAACTGACTATAAAAACATGTTTCACCCAAGATCCCTAAAAGGCACCAGGATAATTAACATGTGCTGAAGTGCCTTGTGCAGCCAGCACCTATGTTTAGCTCCTGGAGTGGGTGCTGCCCAGGCAGGCTACCAGCAGCAGCAACCTCACTGGCACCATGGTGGGAGACCAGCAAGGAACTCAGCCAGAACATCCAAAACACTTTCACTTGAAATTTATTTTTTATTACTACTTCAAAATCATCACATGGCAGGTGTGGAGCATTGGTCTCTTAATGCTTTTGCAAGAACTCCATCTCTCCAAGGTGGCAGGGCTTGGAGGGATCACCCTTTTGTCTGAAAGGAATCTGTTATTAAAAGCAAATGCAGACTTTGAAAGCTTTATTAAATGATATCACCTTGCTGGAAACAAAACATAGCACAGCTTATCTGCCTCCAAAGGATGGGGTTTTAACCAGCATGGTCTAGTGGAAGGTGGGGTTTGCACCAGCCGCTGGCCACAGCTTTGTGCTGCAGCTTGCACCCAGCAAGGGCACCCTTTACAGTTTGGGTGTACTTGCCTGAGGACCTCAGGGTCAGAGTGTCCCAGTGTGGCTCAGACTGACATGGCTCCTAAGTCCAAATTTACTTATTATTTTTGCAGGGCAGTAAATGAGCAGAACAGAGTGCTCCTGCTCTACCCGGGCACACTGCAGGGCTGAGGCCACACCATCCTATTTCCATGCCCTGCAGCTATTCTGAAAGGAAACCTCAGGGCCAAAAATAAGTAAAGAAAACAAAACCAGAAGGACTCTTTGAGCATGGTGGGAAGAGACAAAGGTGCTACTGCAGCCAGGGAAAGGGGCACCCCTGCCATGCAGCTCAGTGGCCAGGGCACCCCCAAAACCTATATAGGAGTCACATTTGGCAGAGCTTGCCCTGGCTTCCAGCTCTCCCCACATACTGTCAGTGACAGTAGTGTGTGTGCCACAGTCACCAGCTGGGGAGAGAAGTGATGAGCAAGAAGAGGGAGCAACAGCATAAGAATCAGGAATGCCTTTCTTTCCCCTTACCTCTCAGAGCACAAACACAAATGCAAACCAGCATCAGCTGCACACACAGCTCATTATTCTTTTGCCAACATCCAATTTTAGAATAAAAGTGTGAGGGGAGAATATCTAAAATGCACCTTGTATCAGTCTCCATTATCAGTACACAACCTTTATATATTGGCCCTCTGCAATTGAACATTTTGCATGATTTTCCTTGTTCTCTGAGCAGAAACCAGAAAAATGAAATTAATTCTATTTCCTGGCAAAATGCAGGTCAGGAGTAGCTCTGTAATGTGAGCACTTTGAAGCACCCTGAACTCTGGGAACCAAAGCCAACAAATCACTGAGGCTAGGTTGCAGCATTATCGCAAATCTCAGACTTGCCACCACCCAGGCCCTCACGTGTTTGAGCAATATCTGTATATTGGATCTCCTCTGTTTGTTTGTTTTTCTTTTTTTCAGGAACAAGAAACTCCTCACTCCACTTGCCAGAGCAAGTTACCAGGTCTGGTCTCCCCAGCTGTCTCTGCCTCCATCTACATGTGAGAGCTCTCAAACATATCCTCAGGAGAAAAAGCCAAATAAACCCCCCAAAGGCCTCATTTTTCAGGAGGCAAGCAGAAAGATAGCCTGTATTCATTGCAGAAGTAACAACCAACTGCTTGCACATCCAGCTCAAGAACTGAGCTCTCTAACAAAGTTAAATCAGTGTCCCTGGACCTTCAGGCATCTGGATGGTGTGGAAGCACACTGCTTCTGTGCTGCACTGGTGATGGCTGTCTGCCTCCCTGTTACTGCACTCACTGCTCTAACTTGGTAAAACCCCTGAGTCTGGCGTTAAAAAGGCCCCACTTGCAGCAGAGGCAGAGTGTGCTGTGTGTGTCAGCAGGAACTGCTGCTCTTGAACTGGTTATTTGTTATTGTGTACAC